GCCCACAGCGTCACACCAGGACTCTAGTAGAAAGTAAGAAATATAAGGGCAGGCCCTTTCTTTGCATAACAAGGCCATAAATCAACTAGCTAAACAGTGAAAGATATCATAAGCAAAGTCAAAGAGTTGGTTTTTTGGGTTTTTTTCCTCTTAGTTTGAATCAATGACAGATGATTAATGTCTCTGTGGAAGTAGTTTCTTATGATGTGTCCTCCAATAATCCCTATTTCCTGGTATTCACACCCTTCGACAGTAACCTCAGCCTTCTGAGATTCGGTCATAAAAAGGCTGTAGCTTCTATCTGTCTTGGATGTCTCTGGCTTGCTTGCTTGGGTCATTTGCAGCGGGGAAAGTAAGCTGCAGGTCATGAGAAGATGTCCATGTGCATGTAACTTTACAACCATGTACATAAGCTTGGCAGCAGACAGACTCTCCTCTAGTCAAGCCTTCAGATAAGACAGTAGTCTCAACTCACACCTTGACACGAGGGACCCTGAACCAGGAGTTCCTAGCTAAATTGCACCTGAATTCATAATCCACAGAAGCAGTAACATGCTTTTTGTTTTATGTCATCAAGTTCCCTGGAATCATTTGTTACATACCAACAGATAATACAAAGGGGCTTTCAAAAGTTCGTGGAGAAACAGAGTTAAAGGATAATGGATATTTTTCCACAACTTTTTGAAACACCCTGGTACAACTGTTAACTTAGAAAATGTTCTAACAAAGGAGTACAGAAAAAACACACCTAACAAGGACATAAAGAGTAAGGAAAGTCATAACATAAAGAAAGAGGCAGTATACATAAAATCACCATGATTTTGCTAATTAAAATAAGATATTTTTCACTTGCAGAATTAAAGAACTTAAAGCATTCCTAACTAACATCGAAAGCCTAATGAGAAGTGGGCAGTCTCACACAAGAAAACTTGTATTTAAATCTATAACACCCAATCAGAGAACAGCTTGTATCAAAACCTTGAAATTCCACTTTCAAAAATCCATTCCAAAAAAAGCACACATGCCAGAGATTTAAAAGTCCATTATCTTTTCATTCTATTTCCAATAACTTTTTGAGTACCTTTATATAGAGTTATTAAAAAGGAGCTCTGGTAGCAAAGTGGTTACGAATCAGGCTGTGAACCGCAGGGTCAGCAGTTCGAAACTACCAGCCGCTCCATGGGGGAAAGATGAGGCTTTCTGCTCCCGTAAAGATTTACAGCCTCAGAAACCCTGTACAGGGTTGCTATGGGTCGGAACTGACTCGACGGCACTTAACAACATATATAGAGTTATTGGATTAGAGGGGGAAGGGGGAGACACTCAATACTTACAATAAAATAATGACTAATTATGGAATGCCCATACTATAGAATATAATCCAACAATGAAGCAAAAGCAATATAACAATCATTAGCTAAGTCAAAGATCTGGGAGATTTTCCTCTTAGTTTGAATTATGACAAATTGTTAATGTCTTTGTGGAAGCAGTTTCTGGTATGGCCTCCAATAATCCCCACATCCTGGTATTCACACCCTTCTCAGATAATGTTATAATCCCTGCTTGACAGAAAGGGAGAAGGTGTGGTTTAATATTGTGATAAAGAGGTTTTAGGCTATGATGTGGTTTGACACCATAATACAGAGAAAGACTTGATAATGTGAAAGAAAGGGAGAGAGGTAAGGAAGGTTTCATACCATGATAAATTGTTGTTCTTGTTAAATGCCATTGAATCGGTACTGACTCATAGCAACCTATACACAGCAGAATGAAACACTGCCCGATCCTGGGCCTACCTCACTATCATTGCCACGCTTGAGTCAACTCAAAAGCATCAATTCTTCTACAGTCTTCCCTATGCACTGTCCAGCTTTCGCATGCATATTAAGTTATTGAAAATACCATGGCTTGGGTCAGGCGCACCTTAGTCCTCAAGCTGACATTTTTGCTCTTCAACATTTTAAAAAGGTCTTGTGCAGCAGATTTGCCTAAAACAATGTTGTTTGATTTCCTGACTGCTGCTTTCATGAATACTGATAGTTGATCCAATAAGAATTAAGTTCTTGACAACTTCTATCTTTTCTCTGTTGATACGAATACTATTTATTGGTCCAGTGAGGATTTTTGTTTTCTTTACATTGAGATGCAATCCATACAGAAGGTTGTGGTCTTTGAACTTCATCAGTATTTTAAGTCCTCTTCACTTTCAGCAAGCAAGGTTGTATCATCTGCTTATCACAGGTTGTTAATGAGTCTACCTCCAATCCTGATACCCAGCTTCTGGCAAGTCCTAAACCTAATCCCTTCCGAGTGAGACAGATTTATCCATAAGGGCAGCGATGCCAAGGATTACTGGCAGCTACTAGAAACTGGAATAGACATAAAAAAGGAAGGTTTTCCCCTTAGAACCATGCCCTAAATTTGAATTTCTACCCACATAAATGGTGAGAGAGAAAAAAAATTTTTCTGTTCTTTAAGCCATCCATTGTGGTATTTATGCTATGGCTGTTATTGTTAAGTCGGTTCCAACTCAGAGCAGCCCTGTACAGGGTTTCCAAAAAGTGGCTGTTGACTTTGACTGCCAATCTTGAAGTTCAAACTGACCTTACGGTCCAATGCTTTATCCCTAAGACAAAAAGCAAGATCTTGTTTGTTTACTGATTTTTTTGGGGGGTGGAGGGTGGGGGGGAGTGGTTCTGGTTGGGAATTGCCAGGGAAATTACACAGAGGATATAGAAATAGCATGAACATTGAGTTTGTAGAAAGGAGGCTGAAAAAAAAAAAAAGCAGAGACCATAAATTGTTGCTATTGAGTTGATTTTCAGCACATAGTGACCCTATGGGACAGAATTAAATTGTCCCATAGGGTTTTCAAGACTAATCTTTCTGGAAGTAGACATTTGTCCCACAAAGCTGCTGGTAGGTTCAAATAGGTAGCCTTTCTCTTAGCAGTGAAGCATTTATCCAGTGCACCAGCAGGGTTCTCAGAGAGACCAAAAAGACAAACATATTTCAAAGCTAGTAGTAGATAAATGTTTGGAAAACTGAGTATGTTGCAGTAAGGCCAAACTAGGAAAGTTCCTAATTGCACAAACATACGTGTGTTGGAAGAAATACAACCAAAATGCTCCTTAGAAGCCAAAATGATCAGATTTGTCTCTCATACATCAAACATATCATGAGGAGGGACCATTTCCGTGAGAAAAATATCATGCTTGGTAATGTGCAGGGTCAGCAAAAAAGAGGGAGACCCCCAACAAGATAGACTGGCACAGTGGCAGCAGCAAGGGCTCAAGTGTAACAACAACTGTAAAGTTGGTGGAAGATTGGGCAGTACTTTGTTCTCTTGTTCATAAGGTCGCTATGAATCAGAAGCATCTCTACAGCACCTAATAACAACTGCACAACTGAACTGGGCAGGTTTTATTCTCTAGAATATGGGAACCATATTAGATTTGTATACAAAAATGAACAACATGACCAAACAGAGCTTCCCGAAGATGATTCTAGTGTTGGTATTCTTAAAAACATTGTAAGAGCCGCACCCCGGGGGGGAGGGAGGACTGGCCGGGTTCTCACCCCATTGACCCCTCTTCCACAACCCTGCAACCCAGCCATGGCCTGGCGAGGGCTGCCAAAAACCAACATCCAAGCTCACAACTGATGATGCTGGCTCTGGTGATGTGTGTGTAGGTGACAGGGGACTGGGTGCAAGAGTGGTACATGGCCCTTGTGAGCTCCATGTATGTGAATTCACAGATGAACCTGATGGCACAGAGCATCTTGGAGAACAGTTGCTTTGAAGGCAACTTGCCCAAGGAGGGAGCACATGGTCTGGGGGGCATCCCACACACGCCAGACCTCCATTCGAAGGGCTGCACGCCTGAGACCTATTTCCACACGTCTACATCTGGCAGCCAGGGTGTGGCACCCTGGGTCACAATGGTGGCGCTCAGGGGCTGCACATTCAAGGACAAGGTCTTAATGGCAGCACGAAGGGGCGCCTCAGCCATGGTGATCTACAACAAGGAGTGCTAAGGAAACCAGTACCATGCCTAAGAATGCATAGCTTGTTAATGACAAAGTCTGTTAAAAGGCCAGGTTTCCTGACTACCTCCTTGTCTTAGGCTGTTTGTGTAGAGGAGTAAAATCAGTGAAACATATATACATGTATATTCAGAAAGAGAGGTTTATTATAAAGAAAATGGCCTACAACTGCAGAGTCTCAGGTCGCAGCACAATAGAGAAAGAGTCTCTCTCATGTGTCCATTATATTGGGTGCAGGACACACCCTCAAGGAAGCATCCCTTTAAATTGATTGGCTGCTCACAGCCACTCATCAGAGTTAACTATGCCTGTATTAGGGTTCATCACCATGGGAATAAGAACATTCCACTTGCCAAACTTCTGGAAATCCTGGCCTAGTCCAGTTGACACAAAACCCTAACCTATACCACAAGAGATGACATCTAAACTTCCACCCAGAGAATCTTCTAAGGAGATAATGTAAGAAATGAAAATAAATGATGAAGAACTTTGTGGACTGCTAATTTTCAGGGGTAAAGGAAAATAAATAAAGATCACAATTATGAAGGGGGATAAAAAGAAAAGTGTCACATAACAAATTTAAAGAATTTTTCCAAGAAAGAGATCAGAGTCAACTTTGTTAAATACTCATATGCTACAGCAATGTTCCTTCCCCTTGTCTCCCACATCAATGAGGCATAAAGGAAGAGGTCTCTGTTTTGAAGTATAAATTTAAGAAATTTTAATCTATCTTTCATAATATTACACACGCACATCTACAGCAAAAGTAGTGGTTTCAAAATAATACTGCAATCTTTAGTAAATTTGCCTGTAACAAAATACACAATTTTTATATAGTCACTATAGTATTTGAGCTAAACCAAACATAAAGCAAAACAAAGCAATCGGAAAAAAAAACAATCATTTACATGTATAAAGATGGCAACAAAATATAAGAAATTAGGAGGTCTTACCTTAAATCTCTTGTCTTGCAATACTTTCTTGATGGCAACCAATTCTCCTGAATCACAAAGTTTGGCTTGATAAACCACACCAAACGACCCATTTCCAATCACTTTAGTGTCTGTATAGCTGACTTCCTGTGGCCTGTCTGGACCCTGCCCAGGTGTTGCCACCACTGTGGTCACCTTACTGCCATCCTTGTCTCCTAAAGAAAGAAAAGAATTTAAAAAGAAACAAATTGTAAATAATTAAACCAAGAAACTTTCCAAAATACACAATGTAAACTGTATTCTTTATTACAAAATATTTTTAAACACTCATCTTGTTGTTTGTTGTGAACGTGCTGTCAAGTCAGTTGTGACTCATAGCCACCCTGTATAGGATTTCTGAGGAGCAGCTAGTGGGGAAAAAACCTCAACCTTTGTGGTTTGCAGTCCAGTACTTGTCCTACAGACCAAACCACCACTCCAAATACTCATCTAAGTTCATTATAAGTTGTTTGAATTTTAAATTATTTTTTAATATACCATTAATTCAGTCATGCTATATACCCAGCAGGAGTTCTGGTATGATGCTGTGGGCTAATGCATCAGACTGCAAAGTTGTCTGAACTGCAAGGTCGGTAGTCAAGGTCACCAGCTGCTCTCTGGAAACCCTATACAGAGTCGCTATAGGTCGGAATCGACTGGATGGCACTTAACAACAACAAGAAAGACCCAGCAAGGAGCCCTAGTGACAGTGCAGATTAATCATGGGTTGCTACCAGCAAAGGCAGTGGTTTAAACTCACCCGCCACTCCATGAGATGAAGATGAGGATGTCTGCTCCCATAACAATTTATAGTCTGGGAAACCCTAGTCAGCAATTCTACTCTATCACTATAGGGTTCACTGAGTTACAACTGACACAATGGCAATGACTCTGGTTTGGTATAGACCTGGTACCATGCTCAGAGTTTACATGCATGACTTCATTTCATGAAAACAATCACTCAATAAAGTTAGTAGTACTGTTCTGGCATTGGAGTCCTGGTGTGGCACTATGGGTTAATGCGTCAGACAGCAAGTCCATATGAACTGCAAGGTTGGTGGTTCAAGCTCACCAGCTGCTCCTTCGGAAACCTTATATGGGGTCTCTATGGGTCGGAATTGACTTGACGGCACTTAACAACAAGAACAACTGTTGTGGCATTAGCTAAAAAGAAGCTTGCCAACGATTCCCAAGGACATACAGCAATTTGTGAACTCACTTGGGTTTGAATCCTTAACTGTCCAATTCTAAAAGTCCTAGTTCTTTCCTGAAGGTCTCCTTATTTTACTTGTAAAAATTATGTACAACTGAAAATGCCAACTCTACTCAAACCAGTATGTTTAGGATGGTAGGGCTTTAATTTTTTGATTCTCTGTAACTTACAAGGGAGTTTCCAGAAGTCTGTGGGAACATTCTGCATCTTTAATTCCATTTCACAAACTTTTTGAACTCCTTTTGTATTTCTTTTTAACAAAATAATAGACTACCTTTCAGAGAAAAATCAGATGAGGAAATAGAACAAGAAAAAGAATATTGAGAATAAGGGATGCAAAACTTTAAAGAAAAATCAAACTCATTTTGAATTCATATATGGCCCTTTTCTTCCCTATTCTGCCTTCCTTTGTCCCTGTAACAACCCATGCTCAAGAGTCACCCCCTAGCTGGATAAGCATAGTTCACAATCTTCTTCTCTGAATTCTTCAAATTATTCTAAACTGTACTATATAGCCTAGCACCTGATTTTTTTTTAAAGGGGGGGAGGGGAGGGATTCTGGAGTTCTTAGTTCTTTTACTGATCTGAGAATATACAATTTCTAAAAAGTATAAAGCATTTTGCAGTACCAGTTATGATTTCTTCTCTACTCTGACAAATTTAAAGCTTCATGATTTGCAGGACATTAAGTCCTTAGCCTCACTGAGTGAGCTTAACCTATTTCTCTGCTGCCCTCCCATTATAGCAATTTTATATTTAAATCCTGAGTTCATACTAAACTAATAATAATAACAATAAAGAGTTGTTGTTGTTAGGTGGCACTGAATCTGTACCGACTCACAGTGACCTTATGAACAGCAAAACGAAACTCTGCCCAATCCTGGGCCAACCTCACTACTGCTGCCACGCTTGAGTCCATCAATGCTGCCACTTGGCCAATCCATCTCGTTGGGGGGTCTTCTTCCTCAACAAGTAGTAGAATAATATATCTAACTCCAGACACCAAAAATACAAAGTTTAAATTTTTGTCTCACACACAGCAAAATAATTTTTTTTAATTCTAATTTTCCAATAATTTGAGTATATTTACCCTGTTGTTGTTCTTAAGTACCATCGAGTCAGTTCCAACTCAAAGCAACCTTGTATAGCATTCCCAAGGAAGCTGATGGGTTTGCAGTTAGCAGTCTAGTGCTTATCCTCTAACACCACACTATTGTTGCTGTTGTTGTTGTTGTTGTTGTTGTTGTTAAGTGCCATTGAGTCGGTTCCTACTAATAGCAACCCTGGTAACAGGGTTTCCAAGGAGCGGCTGATGGGTTTGAACCGCTGACCTTGCAGTTCAAATGACCATGCAGTCCAGCGCATTACCCCACAGTGCCACACCAGGACTCCAAAATTCTCTACAAAATATATTTTCCCTACCAAATACAAATTGCAAAATACAGAATAAGATCCATAGCTTTTGAAACCTTTGATATCTCAAAGGGTTTCAATAGCTATGAATCTTTACAGAAGCCAACTCCTACATCTTTCTCCTGTGGAACGGCTGATGGGTTCAATCCAACAACGTCTTAAGCAGCTGAGTGTTTTAATAACTGTGTCAATAGGGCCAATCTATATTACACCATGCAATCTATATATTATATCATAGTATCAACTATCTGAGGTATGTGTGTTCTTAGTTCCAAGGTAAAACACCAAAATAAATGCGTTACTTAGCTCAAATCCAACACCTCTTGTAGAAACCATTTAACCTTACTATTTAGTGGTCATCAAGTTGTAGCTGTAACTCAAATCTTGCCATTAGCTGCCATCCTAGCAACCACACTTTAAAAAAAAAACAAAACAAACAACAACAAAAAACCCGTTGTGTCGTACTATGTCATCTTCCTGGTTGTTGGTATATTTGAGTCTATTATATCTCCATCTCAATGAGACACACATCTCACTGAGGGTTTCCCTCATTTTCACTGGCTGTCTTTATCAAATAGTGGCTGGTGATTCTGAAGACATGTCCAAGGTAAGTAAGTCTAAGGCCTACCATCCTCACTTCTAAGGAATGTTCTTAGTTACTTCTTCTAAGAAGTTTGTTCATTCATTTGACAGTGGTGTTAACACCATTTTTATTTACAACAGTATCACACACACAAAGCCCAGGGAAAGCCAACACATATAGTATGTGTGTAAGGAGATTGGGAGGGTAAAGAGAGGCTGCTTATAAAAATTTGCAAAAATCAAATCTTTCCATAAACATTTTTATGCCCCATCACATAGCACTTTTCAACCCTTTCAAATATACCCTTCACATTTCACCTGACAATAAAATAAAGCTTAAATATATTTGCTAAAAATCTATATTAATCTAATCTGAGCTCCAAATCACCATGCCCCACCCCCAAAAAAGTACCCCATATACTTTCATTTCTTCCCATGCTAATCTTAACTATATCTGGTGTGGCGCTACAGGATAAGCATTGGACTGCTAACCACAGAGTCAGCAATTCAAAACCACCAGTTGCTCCTTGGAAACCCTGCGTCGGAACTGTCTCAACGGCACTTAACAACAATAACAGTAACATAAACCCTACCCTTAGTTATTCTTCATTAGTAAACTAAACCTGTCTTTACCTGTTTGTCAGCACTCATAAAGACAGATATACAGTCTTCCAAACTTAAATTCCAAAGTAAGAGATACAGAAAGATGAAAATCCAAGGTTGTTCCAAAGAAAATATAAAGCAGAAATAATTTCACACACCGTGTGGCTTTTCCCTACATCATTTAGATCAAAATCAGATCATACACACACACACTTCAACTTATAATTAATAATTTCAATGAATGAAGATGCCTGAAAAATCTCACAAGTCTAATTCATAAAACAAAGCATCATTATTTTTAATTATGGTAAATTAACAGATTTGAAGATTGGCTGCTATTCTCCACAATTTTAATTAGGAACAAAATTTGTTTGGGGTATGACCACAATTATACAGTAGTATTTCATTGAAGAACATCCCAGACACAGCTTTGTACTTGCTCTAATAATTAAAGCAATATAACCATTTCTAGCGACTCTTTCCCCTACTTGTCACCTCAGGTTGTACTTCTTTAAAAAAAAAAGATTTCCGGGATCTAAGAGCCAACTATGAAGGATATCCGTTACAATCCTGAAATTAGCATCTCTTCCTCTCAACTACTAAGTCTGGGAAACAACTATTCAAGCAACACAGTTTACAAATTGGAAAAAGCACAAATGAGACATTCTGTTATATATTTAAAGCGGGAGTAGAAAAATAAAAAGATGCTGTGCCTATGAAAGATACTCTTGAGACTTTTAAACTGAGATTGAAAATACACGGATATTGCAGGGCAGCTATTTGTTTATTATAAACCTTGATTCTGCGATATACTGTAAATCCAAGCCTCTATGACTATAGACCCATTTTGAAATGAGTTGCTAACAGAATAAAGATTCAAAACCACCAGTTGCTCCTTGGAAACCCTGAGTTGGAACTGACTCAAGGGCACTTAACAACAATAACAGTAACATAAACCCTACCCTGAATTATTCTTCATTAGCAAACATTAGGTGGGGATCTGTGGGATCTTTCTGCTCCCATAAAGATTTACAGGCTCAGAAACCCTACACAGAGTCGCTACGAGTCAGAACTGACTTAGTGGCACACAACCACACCACCACCATAAGAAGGTAAAGATTACAGTGGAACTAAGGATTAAGGAAAGGTGCTCTGGTAGCGTAGTGGTTATGAATTGGGCTGCGAACCGCAAGGTCAGCAGTTCAAAACTACCAGCTGTTCTGTGGGAGAAAGATGAGGCTTTCTGCTCCCGTAAAGATTTACAGCTTCAGAAACCCTGTACAGGGTAGCTATGAGTCAGAACCGACTCCACGGCACATAACAACAACAACAAGGATTAAGGAAGGAGCTTTGGTAGCGTACAAA